AATTGTCTACAAAATGGTTTATTTACTTTTGAGTTCTGACTTTTTCAAAAATTTCTGCAAATAAAACAAAATCATAGAAAAACGTCACGGAATTACGTACGCAGGTAGAGTTAGCTGGCCAGGCCGATATCAGTTAAGCATATATGAATCTTGTTTATATATTATTAGGTTTTTACTCATTCATGCTGCAAATTAAACACCATACAAAAGAATCTTTTCAGTCTTGAATATATGTCACGAATGGTATGGAAAAGTAACAAAACAAGTACTCATCAGTTGATTTTAGAAACTTTTTAATGAGTTTTCGCCCTCTTTCATGTTTCGTGAACGTTAACAAAATAGGATTTATAAACCATTTACACAACCATAAAATCTCAAAAGAAAAAAGTGCGCCGCTAACGTATGTACATTTGTAGTGTATCATGCGTGAACATATGCATCCCGTAGAAATGCATTCTTTATTATGTCGACAGACATGATGTTTTCTTGCTGGGATTTTTTGTTTTTTATTTTCTTTGTTTCTTTCAGCCCCTTTTTAGGCAAAATATGCACCTCGTAATCTAAAGAACTATGAAAGCTGGAAAAGTTCTGTAAAAGGTAGGATATTCTCCCGACATTGGCTATTGATTAATGCACTTTTTTCTGGCAAATAAACGCCAGATTCGATGCCATAAGTGCCACAAATAAAAGAAAAATGTATTATGGACTTGAAAGTTTTTGTACATTCGGTTGTCCAGTGCCATTTGTTCTTCAGAGGAACAATAATTCTCCCTCTCTTCTTCAAATTTCGTTTTCATTTCATTTTTCTTAAATCTATCTTTTTCAAAGCAACTGAAATCACAACGAACGTGATGTGGTGAACTTCCTATTGACCGCGGGCCGCTTCTGGCAAATTCAGATCGGATACAGTCTGTCGACATCGCAGCGCAATTGCTCTCTAGCTTATTATGTCAATAGGCATTATGTAATCGTTCTGGGATTTTTGTTTTGTTTTTCCTTGTTTAGTGACTTTTTTTTGAAAAATGTGCACCTCGTGATCTAGCGAACCACACTACGTAGACAACTTCTGAAAACGGGAGGATAAGCGCTCGACATTGGAAATTGGTCAATGCACGTTCTTTTTTCCAACGCAAGTCTACATTGGGCGCCATAAGCTACACAAGTAGAATTAAAATGGTTTTTGGACTTGAAACTTTTCGTACGTTTATAACAATTAATTGTCCGGCGCCCTTTGTTCTGAAGACGAAATTTAACTTAATTCTTTGTTCTTATAATTATAAATAAAAAACTGAAAGTCGTGTAAATACTGAAAAGAGATTTTTTAGTAGAAGAAACCGAACAGAAGAAACAGGACAAGAGGCAAGAGAAATGCAGTAGGCGAGAGAAAATAGAAGCAGGAAAAACAAATTTGTTAATTGAAAAGGGAAGAAATAATGACTAGTTATAATTAATTAATTACTGAAGGGATTTAGTATAACCACAACAAGCAAAAAGAACAAGCACAAAGGACGTGGGCCGATAAGGCCACGTTGCGTCCCCCAACAAAATACAATAAATTATACATTTTCGGAATCAGCGTCGAATTCTGAACAAAACTGTCGCTTCACTTTTTCGAAATTCCAAAAAAACGTTTTTTCGAAAAATTTTGGGGCACCAGGGGGAAGTCGGAAAATTTTTTTCTTCAAAACAATTGGGGAAAAAGTTTTTCTGAACCAGAATTTTATCCTGATTACGAATCTGATGTTAAAAATTGTGAAATCATAAGTTCTCATGGAGAAAAACGCCATCTATTGTACGCCTACAAAATTGGCTAGTGAATGTAGACACGATCCACTTTAATATAACGGACTGGTTCCGCAAAATTTCAAAAAACATAGGAAAAATCACTCGTTCATCAAAAGTCGACTCTCTCAGTTTTTTCCCTGGTAGATGATCCGCTTGCAAACACACTCTAGTATACTCAATTTTTCACGCTCTTTCCGCTGGTAGCAAAATAAAATAAAAAAAGGATGGCAGTTTTTTAAAAAGCGCTCAATTTTTGCCGCTGATGTAAGAAAAACGGCACAAATGAACTTTTTAAGAATATTAAGCAATTAAACGAGTGTGTATTGCACATCGTCTTCATCATCTTCCTCGTTGTCTGAAGAATTTTCCAACTTTTCATTGGCATCTTTAAATAATTCAATGTATTTACTCGACGGTTGGTTAAGATAGTGTACCGGATCATGTCTGGCCAGTGAAAGATACCATATTATACTAGCTACATGACTGCAGCAGCTTATTGTACGAGCCCCATTAGGACATTTGCAGCACCAATCAGTCACAGAGTTTTTAGTATACCTTACTAAAATGTCATAATTTTTCCTATTACTTTTTTTTGACTGAATATTCACTTTTAAGAGATTTTTAGTATCGGTTGATACTTGAATTGCATATTCACCATCGTCACTGACCGGTTTCACGGCATAGCTTTTTGCCATTTTCACTTGAAAAACACCGTAGGTTAGTTTTTCGAACTCTTCTTTTGAAAACTAAGAAAATCGACGGCTGCATCACTGGCTTTTAACGATGTCCATTTTTTAGCTTTCATAAACCCCTTGTCATTGAGCTTTGACAATAGTTTATTCTTCTCATCTCTCTTTTTTTGCATTTCACGAGCTATTTCTTCATGAGCAGAAGTATCTTGAACGAACGGAGGACGAAATGCATTGATTAAACTACAGACTATCGAAAAATATTCGTGAGCAAATGGAAGACTGGAATTAGGTACTACGTTGTTAAAGAATCTCCACTGTTTAATTCTTCCATTGACACACTCTATTACGAAGCGTACTTTAGTTACAAAACGATTTGAATTAGCTTCAGAAGTCGAAAACTGTTTTTGATTTTTCGGTAAGAACAATGGTATATAGACATTGTAGCCAAATGCTTTTATCTGAGGTAGAACATCGCGAAACCCGCGATCGACAACAAATGTATCTTTTTCTTGTAACCAATCAAGAATATTTTCTTCATTTGTGTCTAGTATATGACGAGTTATATTGGCGTCGTTATTGTAACGAGCCTTTCCAGGAATAGCATCAACACATTTAGCTGCTCAAGTTTGGGGCATTACTGACTTTAATAAGTTTTACGAATACATATTTAAATCATCCTCGATCTTGACATTATTTCTGAACAAGTCTAATAATCAGCCAAATAGCTGCCAATAGAACTGATTATGTAGCCATCCGATGCTACAATCATCATCGGTTTAATAAGACTACGACCTTTGTGCAATGAGAAGAAACGTCTTTGCACGATATTATTGCCCGGCTTTTCGGTATAAATATACGTTGCATCGAGAATAATTACCACTCCGTCGCCATCTGAACTGGACGAAGTGGCTTGCAATCCGACGGAAGAAATAGTTACAGTTTCATTTTCTCTCGTTTCAGTGTCCATCTCTATATTTGAATCATCTGTACCACTTTTAACGCTTCTGCTGTGTCTCATGTAACAAGCTGTACATAGTGCAGTCTCACCATCAATATTATGTCCGTAGAGTTTTAGATACAAATCGTTGAATCGTAATCGAACATATCCGGCGTGTTTTTCAAGTGACGCTTCTTCTCCTTTCGTAGATCTTTTTTACACAAACCACAACGAGCACTATTGAATGGCATTCTAATTTTTCTAGTATAGCCCTCTGAGCTAACAATTATAACACATATTCGAAGAGGAATGACGTTTTGTGCGGTTTAGCACGTCTAATATAATTTTATTTCATAAAAAATACAGAATGTAACACACTCACTACTGTGAAGGTTTCTAATGCCTATAACTGTTTGTATAGTCAGAGAAAATTATTATCTTTTTCTTTCGAATACGTGCCTTCTCATCCATCAATCATTATGTATTCTGTTCTCATTTTTTCTGTTCTATGTTTTTTGAAATTTTGCGGAACCAGTCCGTTATATTAAAGTGGATCGTGTCTACATTCACTAGCCAATTTTGTAGGCGTACAATAGATGGCGTTTTTCTCCATGAGAACTTATGATTTCACAATTTTTAACATCAGATTCGTAATCAGGATAAAATTCTGGTTCAGAAAAACTTTTTCCCCAATTGTTTTGAAGAAAAAAATTTTCCGACTTCCCCCTGGTGCCCCAAAATTTTTCGAAAAAACGTTTTTTTGGAATTTCGAAAAAGTGAAGCGACAGTTTTGTTCAGAATTCGACGCTGATTCCGAAAATGTATAATTTATTGTATTTTGTTGGGGGACGCAACGTGGCCTTATCGGCCCACGTCCTTTGTTCTTCAGACGTTTTATTGCGTCTAATTTTACTCCAGTGTTTTACCACTTAAGACTTTAGACATCATTTAGCATATATACATATACCTTGTTTGAGCATCAAAGCATCTATAAGCATTGTTGAACATACTTAAGCCATTGTTAAGCACATTTAAATCTTGTTTGGGCATATTGGACCATTGTTGTTAGGCTGCACCTAGCTTGTTCGAAACTTAATTTGTATGTACAAATGGTTTATTGAGAAATCAAAAAGCACTCTTCGAAGTAGTACATCCCTGTGTATATATATAGGCGAGAAAGGAACAAAGAACATAACAGAAAAACCATGATGTAATATAAACAACGATATCACACCAAGGCATGAGGAGATAGTGACTGTATAAGCAATACCTTTCCTGACTTTTTTATATATATAGCAACGCAGTAGTTTCAATGACGTTGCTGCATTTAGGTTCTTCTCAGGTCGTATGACTAGGCATGCACCAAACCGATAGTTTGGTTCGCAACCGAACATGTTCGGTCACCAAACCGTTCGCTACTGAACATGTTCGGTCACCAAACCGTTCGTAATCGAACATGTTCGGTCACCAAACCGTTCGCTACTGAACATGTTCGCTGCCGATCAGCGAGCCCTAGCTTGGGATGGTTGCATGCCTGATCAAAGGCAAATTGAATGAAATTGAAGCTTTTGAAGGAAGTAACCAGTGAGAAAATAGATTAACTAAAGCACAATCTGAGCGAATGTGTTTTCTACCTGATCGCTATCGAACGTGTTCGGACGAAGATTGTAAATACGATAGTTTATATTTTTCTCATCAAAGACATCGACGAGCGCTCTGCTGACTAACTATTAGGACAAAGTACCATAAACCTTCTAAAGATATATTCAAATTAGAGCTGCAACTGTCTGTCTACTTTTTTCTGCACAGTGAGAAAAACCATTTTTGCATGAAAACAAAGTAAATCAATCTGCTATACAGAGCCCACGTTAGTAAGAACTTAGAGAGTAAATCAGATATAATGGAAACTAAAGGTACTTTCAACTTCCTGAAATAAAGTAAACATAAATTTGCTGCTCTGATTCAAACTTTTCTTTACATGACTACTTACGGCTACGACGTAATCAAGGCTGCTCCTCCGTTTGGTGTAATCTTCACCATTTTTTCTGTTTTACAAAGATTTCTTTCATGTGTTTCTTCATTCTCATGTTCTTAGCTTTGACAAACTATTTCTTTTAAACCTTTGGTAGCGATTCAGTAGAAGACACATTCGCTCACATTGTACTTTAGTCTATTTTCTCACTGGTTAGTTCCTTCAAAAGCTTCAATTTCATTCAATTTACCTTTAGTCCAGATCAGGCATGCAACTATCCCAAGCTAGGGCTTGCTGATCGGTAGCGAACATGTTCAGCAGCGAACCGTTCGGCAACAAACCGTTTAGTGACCGAACATGTTCGATTACGAACGGTTTGGTGACCGAACATGTTCGGTTGCGAACAGTTTGGTGATCGAACATGTTCGGTTGCGAACGGTTTGGTGACCGAACATGTTCGGTAACAAACCGTTCGGTGCCGATCAGCGATTCCTAGTTTGGGATTGTTGCATGCCTACACACCATCAACCCATTCAGTTATATCCAAATCATAAACCACACAAGGAAACACAAATCATTGAACAAGTTCCAGAAATGGTAAAAATCACGTTATTCGACGAAGTTTCAGTCCATGGTCATCACTGGTCGTCATCATCAAAAAGAAAGATGGTACACCGCGATTTTGTGTGGATTCTAGAAAATTAAATTTAATCGCTGCAGGAGATGTTTATCCATTATTAAAGAATCGCTGATATTATCGGCAAACTACCTGGTTCATATTGCTTTACTGCATTGGATTTAAAGGAAATTCTTTATAAACAGAAGGTGATCGAAAAATGCATTAACAACATTTAGTGCAATTTATTCTGGGACACCCGTGAAATGACTCATTACAAGAACGAAGTGGGTTTTTTCTCGTTACTTCTCCCGTTAATTTTTTTCCCG